CGCCCTCCGCTGTGCCCAGCTTTATCATCATTTAACCTCTTCCCCTTGTCTCCTGACCCAGACACCGCCCTCCAGACAATACTGACCTCAGACTCGTCCAAACACTGCAAGATACACTCCTACTTTGCCATAGCAACTGAAGTGATATCGAATACCGCTTGTTAAGACAAATGTTGCCAAGATGAAGTCTGCACCACCGTGCAAAGGCTGTATGAATTTATGATGTCGGCCGGCTTGACTCAGGCGAGGGCAGAAGGGCCCGTTATGTTGCCCAGTGAACAAGGGCCGATGGAGCAGACAGACTTGGTACTTGGCCATGCGGCAGCAAGGAGTAAAGTGCCCTCAGGCGTGTAGCCAATGTCGACTTGTTCACAGAGAGAGAAGGGAAAGTTGGCGTTTTAGCGAGGCCCGAAGGGGTGGGGTACGACAAGACGTCACAGGAGCATGTGAAACCGTGGCTGGAGGCCTCGGCCAACGGTTTCTTGCGTTGCTTCAAGTAGGTTTGCTTATGCCTGGTTTATGCACGTTTATGCCCTCCTTGTTTACCTGTTTCCGTCGCCTAGTACGGTCTTAGCCATAGGTACCAGTGTCCCATGGCATCGGTACGCCGGAAGGTGCTGTATAGGTGCATGTAAATAGAATAATGTGCAAATGTGCATGTAGGATAGTGCATAATCATGGAATAGACATGGATGTATTTATGCCTGGACAAGGGCCTGACAATGCTAGATAGGATTATAAGTTATATATTATAAATGGTATCTCATTTGTTGTATATAATAATATTATAAATAGATTATATATTTTATGTTTTATACCTTCGTACTACTTTCCATTCTTTCGGCACTTGACTACCCTTTCTCCTCTTTCCGCCCTAGTTGCTGTTAGCACCGGTAGGGAGGCCATGATCTGGGTTGTACTTGAAATGCTTCGACTTGTTTGACGAAGGGCCGGGCATTAAAGAATGGCTTGACAAGGCAGTATTGAAAAACTCTTCCCTCCACACGAAGACGGACTTTACTCCGAACTATAGGCATAGCAGACACGCCAGCCCACTCAGCCTTGAGGCATGTTTCAGCTGAGAGTTAAGTATGTGAAGATCTAAGTCGGGCCTTTCAATAAGACCAGACCAAACACAGTACCCCCCAACGAGCGTTAATCACAATTTTATGTGCAGGCCTGTTTACAACGAAAACATTTAGTTACTAAAAGGAAAATTCGTGTACAATGGGGGATTAGTTGGTTAAAGTTAGTCTGCCAATAAAGAGTCTGAGAAAAGTTTTTATTTTGCAGTAAAACTCCCGGCAGCAACTCGCCATCCTAAACTGTCAAGCTGCGGTCTGCACCTCACCCGAGTTTCGTCGGCAAAATTCAGGCAGTAGACCACTTTTTTTCTGGTCCTTGAGCCATTAGACGATATCTCCTCTGAGTTACATGGGGAGAAGAAAGCGCCTCTCATCTCGCGTCAAGTTATGAGAACATTTGGTCAAAGGATCGGCTTCACTTGTCTCTTTGACGAGTTGGTGTATGGTGTTAAGAGTGGCGGGATTAACTGACGATGCCGACTACGATGCAGGCAAAACTTTCGGGAATCGACCACGTCAACGGTTCGACTTTGGAAATGATCATGCAGACAATGGACTCCGGACTGGATGCGTTCCTCTAAGTCTTCATACCAATGTGACCATGTTGCGAAAACAAGGTCAAACAACTTCTATGAGAACTTTTGTCTGGATCGGTGAACTATATCTACCAATAAGCTCAATTCATTACTGATAACTCATAAGTTATCAGTTGTTTAATGGTTTTTGCCTTTTGCCAACAAGTCCAAGGTTAGATTCCCATCAGAGGTGCTGTTGAGGCTGAACGGCTTTTTTGCATACTTGGACCGGCTATTTGCAATGCAAATTCGAGTCTTTTCGTTGCTTTAGACTTGGAACAATCATCATGATTCCCAATAATTACACATGTAACTAGGAGATATTGACCAAAATCAGATTCCCGAAAACTGATAGAAAGTCAGTAAAAGTAAAACTGTAGCTTGAATAAGGTCGATTAGGTTGATTTAGGTACGTATTATTGAATTTCTCCCACAGTGCGATTAGCAAGCC